CTATCAGGCAGAGTGCAGCATTCCGAGAGCGTGATTTAATAAAAACAGAGCGGGATTGAATTATCATATTTTAACTGGATGTGTGTTTCAGTTAGAATGTGTGATTCAGGCCTACAAATGATCCGAACGCTTTTCCGAGGTGCAAGACAGCCCTCTTTCTTCCTCTCGGTGCTTCTCGAAAATGGAAAAGAGGGGGACGAGGGGAAGACAAAGAAGGTAAACTAATAAGCCTCTCGGATATCGGTGACACAGAAAATAAACCGAGATGGCTGGAAAGCCAAAGCTCTTGTTTGATCTGGCTCCACATACAGTACGAGTGTACAACAGAAGCCCAGACACGAGAGCTTGATGAGGATTATCCAAATGATTGCGGTAATCAGATGGAATGAGATGCGAGATGACCATCTGTATTTGCCCCAGACGGCGCGATCGCTCCTCAGACCCTCTGAGGGATTTTACACGTTTGACTAACGTGGAACGGAACAGCACGGCCGAGAAACAACAAGGAGACACAACAAATGTCAGGAGAAGATGTGCAAATCAAGCAAACTCGTGTAATTAAATTAATTCCAGAAACACACCAACTTTTTTTTATCTGCCTTGGGCATTCTGTGTCTCTTCGGTAATGATGTCCTAACACAAAGCAGGCGAAACAGCAGGTGAAACATGCTCCTTTTTTTCCCCACCTATCCAACTCTCACATTCCAGCTCTGAATTAAAGATTTTTTTTTGTGTGCACTGGTGTAAATTAAATTCAGGAGTCCACTTTTAGCAGACGTCACAATGGGGTTGAGAGGATTCTAGATTGTTGTGCCTGTGCTGATGCATGTAAACACGCACATCAAAAGCAAGCGACCAATCCACGGCTCCCGGATGCTCTGTCAACACGGACTGAGATGTCTAATAGGCAGAGAACAGGTGTCAATCATCTCGCGCAGCCAATGGGCTCGTCTCACACGGATGCAGCATGCCGGACTCGCACATTTCCTTGTGTGCAGCAACCATACGGTACATACAACAGATACAGATATAGATTTAGAAATGGACACACAAATTATGCCTACATTTTAAAATTCTTTAATTCATAGATTAGTAGCATGCTGATTTCATTTTGAAATACTGCCTGATATCGCAAAATCCTTTCAAAAGCAAGCAGCTCAGATAAGCACTCCTGCAGTACCGTGCTGCACATCTCCAACCAGAACATCCACATTGCCCTCAGGGCACCACGCAACAGACAAGAGAAATGAACACGTTTCATATGCACAGTTCAGACACAACCGTAAATACAAGCTTAAATTCAAACCTATTCTTCATTTCTTTTTAAAATAAATACATAAAAACAACTAATGATATATTCACAAAAAATACCAACAGATGCAATTAAATAGATTTTTTATATGATATTTTGAAATGTAACAATATGCTAATTTTATTAAATTAATATTTTTTGAAGAAGAAGAATTTTAAATGCTACAAAATAATCTAATTAGCATGTTTAGGTTTGCATAAGAGATGATTCTAAATTGATTGTCTGCAAAAATTCTAAAATGTTATGTCTACAAAAATAGATTTACAAAGAGATTACATTTTTGTCCAATGTGTTTATATGAAATCACATTAGTGTTTAACATGTTACACGGCAAATTAATATTGCAGGTAACTTCATAGAATCAAGAGGCATATTCATTTTGACATAACTATACAAAAATTGGTTATACTTGATGTTAATTATAGTCATTCAAATATGGCGAATTATTAAAACAATAATTTTATATTAACACATCAACCAATTTGGGTTGTTAATGTACATTAAACAGCCCAAACTGAGCTAAATTTGTAATTGCTCTATAAGAACATCTATGTTGCCATGTTGGTCACAATCTCTTCACAACAACTACAGGTTAAAATGATACACAGAGAAACAGTAACTCTCAATGTGATGTTTACAGTGAACACATTTTACATTAGCAGGTCAAACTTCAGTTCACAGTTCAATAGGGTCAGCATCTGAAGCTACAGCACATGCGTACAGCATCTCCTGCCTTTCCCAGATGATAAGACGGGATAGAGGCCAGCCACGCTGTCAATGCTTTGTGGCGTAATGAACCTAAAAATTATATTTGAATGCACATTCTGAACAGAAATACAGATATAAATGACGAAACACATGATACTCCACACACAATTGTAGCATTTTTAAAGGCCACACCTGTATGTATATGTGTTTCCAATTAAAATGCGCATTCAGATGTGATTTCAGGTTTATTATTACACCACAAAATATTGTATTATATAAATAATTTTACAGTATTGTGATGCAAGCGTGAGACCCTCATTCTTTCCCTTTCTCTCTCATTCTCTTTTCTGACACAAGCAGGCCAAGCTGAGATCACAGCTATTGATACAGCCACCCAGTGTAACAAATATTGAGACCTGGACCACCAAACATACACACATTCACCTAAATCATGCAGTTATACACTCCGTCAGTGCACATGCCAAGAAACGCACATAAATGCCCACATTTACACATCTAATACACACGGAAACATAAAGCTGGGCCCTAAAATAGGCACACATTGATAATGACACATACACACGTTCTTTGATCAAAATCAAAAGCTGAACAGTACAAACACACACACATACACACAGAAATTACAAAATATATATAGATCCGTTTAGGTATCTTAAATATGAAGTGCTTGCATATGTGTGTATGAACATGTGCATGTTCATTCTCATGAATCTGCCTGTAGAGTAAGAGACTTGAAGTAAGAATTGATCATCTTAAAACGGCCAGATGAGAATGCACACATGCACACTCAAATGGATGAAAATTAGAGCTTGCCGGCAACACATCATGTGACACACATACACACACACACAAAAAAAAAAAAACATGCTGTGAAATCCAAATCACACTCTCCACTCGCTGGTAAAACTGAGCCACCGTTTCAGAGTGTGTTTATGAGTGAGTGAGTGTGTGAATGCACTTGTCCTCTGAATATCTCCGTACAGAGTTTCCAGTCTAGAGGAGAGCAGATGCAGCACAGCACACCGTGTGGCTTGGAAGTAGAATTATTTCCTTTTTACATCTCACATATGTAGCACATGTTTGCAATTTTACAGTACAGCTGGTGTTAACATCTAATCTAAATAAGACAAAATTGAAAAATATACTTGATACTGCTTCTGCATATTCGCTGATACTTAAAAACATGTTAATATAGACAAATGTTTACACATTTCGGACTTTTTCTGGAGTGTTTAGCATGAGGTGAATGTGAAGTCATGCCATGGTGCATCTCGTCGCGGCGTGTGTCATTATGTTCAGAGGGTGTTTGTTTGTGAGCATTCAGTCCTCCAGCCAGACAGGGTGCTGCTTATTTCTCCATCACAGCTCAAATGGGCTCCCACGCTGGAATAAATCACTGTCGCCACGGAAATGCAGCGACAGCCATGATAGATGGCTAAATTGTGTGTGTTGATGTCTTTAGTGTTGCCGACAATTTGGTAAATCTCGCCTTTTTCTGTTTCTCACAGCATTGCGTGTGGGGCGCGAGGCATCTGAACGTTGACACGAACCACGAGAAGGGGCCCGTACTGTGACCACCTCTAAAACATCAGCACAACGCAGCATTGCTAAAGTCAATTTAAACGTCTTCCTGTCAAAAAGTCCTGTTTATGTATGTACAAGTTACAATTACTATTGTAAATAATGTGATAAACATATAAAATAGGGTAATGATAATCATCAAATATTCCAATCAAAAACTTGTTTTCAAAATGTTCATTAGCCTGTAGTTGATGGTAAGCGGAATTCATGTTCAAGGGTTATATGGTGCATTAAAGTCCTTCATGTAATATCTTATTTATGAGTTGAAAAGTTGTAATTACAGTACAACGTCAAGTTCATTCAAGTCACTTTGGTTGGAAACAAGATGGCGACACCTTTTCTACATAAAATTCATAAAATGTAAAAATCCATAAAAAAATGTTTTAACTGCATTAAAAAAATGAATAATGAATGCATATTGGGTGTGTTTCTATTTTTTAATTTGCTTTTTTGTTTTTATTTAATTCATGAAGGTGCTATAAATTGAATCATTACACATTCTACTGCAGTTGTACTATACTTTGGTATTTTGCACATGCAACTTTTATTGTAAATATGAAAAACAGTAATTACACTTACACTTACAATTACATTTTAACAAATGTAACATTACTACAGAAGGTGAATCCGTTGTGTCCAACATGTTTTCTCACTCACACGTCCCCAACTCTGAAACTCTGGGTTTAAAAAAGATTCAGAGTTTCACTTTGTGCTGATTTTCATGTCCGTTCAACTCGTGAACATACGATTTTTTCGGACATGACTTGAGTGCACCAAAAGTGTTCCTCAATGACGGGGGGGTTCGCCCTCACGTGCATTCGGGTCACAAGTGCAGTGACCCCCGTATGTAATATGTCAACACGACGTACGTAAGTCTTGCGTACGGCACGACTGTCGACGCATCACTATGACAAAGAGACTTATTATATTTTTGCTGAAACCCCCATCCTACACAACCACACCCCCCCACCCCAAACCCTTTTATCTGACCGGTGAGCCAGCCCACCCAATGCCTAAATATAGACCCTGACACCCCCGTCACACAGCAGTTGAGACACATGAACACCCGTTTCCGATTCAATCAGATATATACCGGTGCAAACGGTTTCGCAAACATAGAACCTGCGACACGGCACCTGTGAACTCGCAGACACTACTCAAGGCAGTCGGCCTGCTCCTGAATCCAGAGCCCCCCAACAAGCCAACGCTCACACCTGGCAGGATCAAACAAGCGTGCACTCCCCACAAACTCACTTACAATCAATACTTTCAGCCAACACCATGCAGCAGTCCCAGCTCCACCGCACACACACACACACACACACACAGGGAGAGAGAGTGCAACTGCACTCCAAAGAGCAGAAAGCAGTGTACTGACCTTTCTGTCACTCTTTTTTGTGCCTCCTTCCTTTCTTTCTTGCCCTCCTTGACGTCCAATCCACACTTGTCTTCTGGCTGCTGGTGCTGGGGCTACAGTAGTAGAGGAACGGTAGTGTGTGAGTGAGAGAGAGAGTGAGTGAGTGATCCTGCTCAACCTGACTAGAGCGGGCGCATTAGTATGATTTCACACCCAGGCTGCAGCCCTGCCTACTGTCCTGATGGGGTTCCTGAATGTGCTGCTTATTTAGAGAGCTGGCGCGCTGTACCTGGGCTTGCAGGCAAGCTGCTTAAAGCAAGAGCCAACATCTAGAGTGCATAATACCCCCACTCTCTCCCTCTCTCCGTGTCTCTCTCTCTCTCTTTTTCTCCCTCCTGCACACACACATACACAAACACTGGTATGCTCTCCTAGTCGCTGGCTGGGGAGGTAGACGCCGGCTCGGACGTTCACGCGACCGTGGTGCGCCAAGAACTCCGGACCTTTGGAAGCCGGTAGCCGGTGCGAGAACACACAAAGCGGAGCTCTCTTTTCTTTCTGAGTGTTTAGGAGACAATTTCGACAAGGGATTGCACCCAATCTACTAGGATGATCCAGATGGATGAGTTATAATATGCTTTCCAGTCTCTTGCTCTTTTTGTCTGTCTGATTCTAGTTGTTTTAGCCTATTATCGAGCTGCCACATGTTTCTGCTTGGGGAATGCCTTGCGCTTTTGGATTCGGTCCCTCGGCCGCTCGTCTCAGTGGGGGGCGGACGGGTGCGCTAAATTGTGACTCAGGCTGAATGTGTATTAGTCAAATTTATTATTTATTGCCAAGCCGCTTTCGTTTTCCCCCTCAGCACACGCGGATAGATGGAAAAGGGGGGTGGAGAATCAGAGCTGGAGTTGCGGGGGGTGCGGGGTCAAGGGTGCGAGGGTTTTATTGTGGGTGGAGGGTTTGAGATATAGCCAGTGGTCATGATTTGGTGAGCGAGGCCTAGAGGAAGGTGAAAAGAATATATAAGATATTAATTTAATGTATTTATTTATTCAGCCAGTCCGCATGCCTTATCAGGCCGGTGTCTCTTAATGACATCACTGGCAGCTTCTCCAAGCTGTCCAAAATCACCCTGCCTCTCATTTTTCTTCAAAATGACTTCAATTCATTGTGTGTGTGTCTGTATACGCGCCAGAGTGTTACTGCCTATATCTAAAATTGAGAATAATGCTATCCAATGGGTCCACACTTTCATGCAAGATAGCCTGAGATCCAAAAGCTGGAATTATAAAACAAATATTACAGAAAAAGAAATGATAATTAAACATAAAAAGCCAATAAAAATATGCACTCATATGAATAAATGTTATTAACTGAAAATATCGGGCTTTTTAAGTTCTCCTACAACTTCATTAGTGATTTTTGGATATTTTGGACTTAAGACCAAAAACTCAATACAGCATTTCCCAACTCTGCTCCTGGAGGTAAACCAAAAGTACTGTATTTTCCAGATTACCAGTAAATTTTCCTTTGATCATCTGAAATGTGGAGCGACTTTTATTCCATAGCAAATTATATAATGCAATTAATATCAAGCACTCAAAACACCTTTAAATCTGTGCCAAATGACAGAGGTATGTAAGCCCAAGTTTATTTCCACACACTAGTATTTTCAGTTTCGCTTTAAATAAATTTGTTTAGGCTTGCCATTTATATAATAAAAGTTGTTTGTAATGAATGTCACTATCATTTTTGTTTTATACTTGTATTTTACATTTCCATTGTGAATACAGTTAGATTTAAAGGATTTCTTGTGGTGTGAGGGGAACTAAACTACATTATTTACTGGCATTTTACATTATTTCTAAATGTAATAGAAATTGTGACAAACATTGATGCGTCTGTATTTATTTTTCAATACACAATGCAATTTTAACCTGGTGCGACTTATTTTACGGAAAATACGGTACACATTTTCAAACTCTTCCTAATCAAAAAACTCTGAGTCAACTCATTAGCTCATTAGAAGAGACTTTAAGACCTGAAAATGGATAGGACAGATAAGGGAGACCTCCAAAATGTGTACTGTCGGTGTGCCTAAATTAACAAATAAACAAGTTATTATATTTAGAACTGCTCATGTCTATACTTTATATATAAGCAGCTATATTAAAAAAGTGTGGGCAGCTGTTTACTGATTATGAAATATTGCAAGACCAATCCGAATGGTCAAAACCTAGGAAACTCTGTGTGTGTGTGTGTGTGTGTGTGTGTGTGTGTGTG